CAGGATTAAACCTGAGGATTAAACAACAGGGTTAAACCTCAGGATTAAACCTGAGGATTAAACAACAGGATTAAACCTGATTATTAAACCTCAGGATTAAACCTGATTATTAAACCTCAGGATTAAACCTGAGGATTAAACAACAGGGTTAAACCTCAGGATTAAACCTGAGGATTAAACCTGATTATTAAACAACAGGGTTAAACCTCAGGATTAAACCTCAGGATTAAACCTGAGGATTAAAAAGCAGGATTAATTGGCATGCAGGTGGCGCAGTGGTTAGCGTGCTCTACCCATGTATGGAGGCCTTAGTCCCCGACGCGGCCGACTTGGGTTCGATTCCGACCTGTGGTCCTTTGCCGCATGTCCCTCCCCCTCTCTGTACCCTTTTCCTGTCAGCCTCCTCTATTGGGAGAAACTTCTAAACGCCTTGTTTCTATGTGGTGCGTTTGCTGATTGGATCAGTTTAACAGTAATTCCGTAAAAATTCAAAAAATATCCACTGGACTTGGTTTTCAAGATTTGAAGACGTTTCTCCACCTCTCCAGGAAGCTTTCTCAATTCAAATGTCTGGATCCGCAGTGAGTTTGAGTCTTATATAGACAACGCCTTGTATCGCTTGGAAACATGCAATGGTAACCGATGAATGGGCCGTTAGTTCCATCGTTAGCCTGTAATATCTGAACCTGTCTATGATTCTAGGGGTCGGTCGCTAAAAAGCTTCCTGGAGAGGTGGCGAAACGTCTTCAAATCTTGAAAACCTAGTCCAGTGGATATTTTTTGAATTTTTACGGAATGACTATGACCTGGATGACTGAGAACCTTCATCAGCATGTTTAACAGTGATGTCTGAGGGGCGGTGAAGCCATCCCAGATGCTGAAAGCTTCAACATCTTTCATGCTTTTTTCACCAGTGCTTGGAACCAAACTGGAGGATGTGGACGAACTGGTGCAGAAGCTCCTGGAGCTGGTGCCTATGATGTCATCAACCATGACCCTGAGACAGGACTTCAGGGAGGAGACCCACCGCCGCGCACCCGTTCTCACATACATAGAGGAGCTCAGCTGGCCCGGTCTGGGGGCGGTCCGGTAAGGCTGACCCGTTTTCATCAACCCAGAGTTTACAGCACAAACCAGGGGGGGCGGGAGGTAGAGCCCCCATTTGGACCAATCAGCTCATCATCTCAGGCTGATGGACAGACCAGGGTCTGGTCTATAT